AGGGTGGTAGGGAAATAATTCAGTGAATATAACATTGGAAATTCAAACTGCTAGCTAATACATCTAGGGAAAAATAACTAAAACATACTTATTCTAGGACACACACACACACAAAAAACCCTCACAGAGATTAATCAACAGCTGCTGTTTTCAACCCTTTATTTTCTGCAGCCCCAAATTTTTCCACTATGGCTTCAGCCTCCTGTAGACCAGTTGCCAGCAGGCATCGATACATTTACTTTTCTTAGTGGCATGTCCCCTTCAAGTCTGGCATGTCACCCTAAAGCCATCCAGCAATGCAGAGGTCCACAGCCCCCTGGCAGGAAACCATTGAGCACTCTGAGAGCAGGGAAGGGATTTTTCTGAGGAGATGAAGCCACAGATCTTCAGATTCACCATATTGATATGTGGCTTGATTTTGAAAAGACCTTATCTCCTACCTACACTGAACTAAGGAGCAGATATAGTGACACACGTTGTCAGCACCCAGCAGCAGCCTTAAGCCCTCAGGACACTGCTCCAAGCACTGGGTCACCCTTGAAAGAACTCTCAAGATCCAAAATCCCCCACTGCTAAGACTGCCAGGCTTTTCCATGTAACGTAGGATTATATTTCTTGCATTGTGGAGACAATCCCCAACACAGACGAGGTAGATAACAGTCCTCTCCAGAAGACTGAGGGGATATATCATATCATTCTTGATATATCATATTAATTTCAGAGTACTTCAGTATTTGAGCAATGTAGATCTAGCGGAGACAGTTTAAGAAAAGATCAACAGAAATTATTAAGGGTTTTAAGTTGATTTGTGAGCTCACATTGAATGGATCTGATATACGTGTAGCTCGTCTGAAAGTGATAACTGAAGTAGAACACAAAATAGCTGCCTACAAGGATCAGTGTTAAACAAAACATAATGTATTTATTGCATTAAAAAAAAGTAATTCACTAAATGCAATAAGATATTAAAAAAAAGAGGAAAGTTTATTAAATACTAAGCCTACTAAGCAAATCAAATTGTTCAGAGAAGTTTTTACCATGAATAGTGCACCAAGGGACTAGACACATTTTGAAAATAGTATAAGATAAATAATTTCATTTAAGATGGAATTACTTTCTAATGTAACTCTGCGATCACAAAGATAAGGCAACCAAGCAAGATACCCTCTGCTTCCTATGACCAGGTAATGACTTTTTTTCACTATAAGAAATCCCCTACAAGAGGGGATTTTTTAAGATGCTTTGAAAGGCTCCTCTGCAAGGTTTTTTCCTGTCAGACACCCTCACAGACATTGTGCTGTTGGAAAGGGGCCACGTTTCCTTCTCACTCACAGAAAGTCCACTTCAAATTTGGCAGAAACAAGACGGGCCAAAGGGAAATCACGGGAATTCACACGCAGATCCCAACTGCTGGCAACATGCCTCCATTGAAACAACACTGCAAAGACCCCTCCTTCCAGATAGATCAGATCCCAGGAATCTGCAAAAGCAGTTCTTAAATTTAGATCTGTGAAATAGATTCAAACGCAAGATACATTTGAGCTTGAAAGGATCCCAGAAATGTAGTAGTCAAGGTCATCCCACCGAGAACTGCTGAGTTTCAGAAACACCAAAAACTGCCTGAGCATTCTCAGCTACATCTCCAAGTAATTTAATCTTCATTGTCTTTCTCCTGTAATGGCTGGATTGCAAAAGCTAGTTAATGTTTATGGGTCCATATGTTTTTGTCTTCCTGCCTGTTCTAGTAAAGTAACAAAACTGTTACGACCTGTAATTAATTCCAGAGGTTTCATTCATTATCTCTGATTAAATTAATGCCTGTGCAATAATGAAGATGTAAGAAGATATAATACACTGTCAGGAGCAAGTGTAATTAAGGTATAGGCAACACCGTAAAAACACATTAGAGGTCCTGACTCACAGTTTTATGCAATAACATTTCATGGCTTTTTCCCTGTCAACAACATTATAGTGTGCATTTTTATATTTAAAGTACCAGGTCTTTTGATGAAGTATTTAGAAAAGCAATATCCAAAATGATTGTACTGCTGATTCCACTTCTTATTTTACTTGCAGCATCACTCCCTCGCTTCCAGTTGCAAAACCCACTTCTGCAATTTAGGACTGTAAAACCTCTTCTGGGAACCACACAGTTACTGTGACACTGGAAAGGTTATCACATTTCAAGGTGTTTAACAAACATTTCCTAAGAAAACAGCCTCTCTTGGGACATGTGATTAAAATAATGTATACAGTGGTTTAAGGCAGTAAACTCCAGCTTTTTTCTTGTCTCACTAAACTTCCAGTTCTCCAAAACGCTGGAGGAAAAACCCCAGTCCCTTAGCTCTTAACGCACATACAGCAGATCCCTGCAGAGCACACAGGTGATAGAGAGGAAACCCAGACGGGGCCTTCATGGTCACTGTTTCTGCAAAGAACAGCAGAGGAGCGTGACCACAACTTGCCCTGTTCACTTGACACCCTCCCCACCAGTGCTTAATGATGCTTCTGCACTTTGCCAGAGCTGAATTACACCGGCTTTCCTCTCCATCTTCAGTAGGTGCAGAAGACTCCTGTTCACGGCAGCTTGCTCAATCCCATTAGTACTGACCCTGGGAAGCTGAGAGAAGATGCTGTTGATTGCTTCTGTTAGGATGGAAGGAAGACATTACTCATGTCAACACCCAGGATACCCTCCCTGTCCATCCTCTAGGGATCTGACCCCTCACCTAAGATGTATTTTCATTCTCAAAGACATAACTATGGGTAGACCACAACTTCTTGGGATTTTTATACATTACCCAGTCTGACATTGAGATAAGACACTAAAATCATTCTGATACAAAACAAGAGGAATTCCCCACCTTCTATAAGAAACTGCATTCCAAAAATATCATTTATTTTTGGCTTGGCATAGTTGCTATATTGTAGTGGGAATGGAAGAGTTGGCATCCCAAAATACATTGGCACTCTTTAAGGAGAATGAATCAAACAGTGATTTTTATACCTTTTGGAATGTAATGAATTCTTGTATCTTGGTGATACAAGATCTTGAACAACAGAGCAAATTAGTGGGGCCAAGAACAAAAGGGGCAGAGTCAGAAGTAAAGGTGCAAAAGCCCCATAACCTGTGACAAGGTGAAAAGCCCAGAGCAGAAAAGACAAAACTTCCTAAACAGAGGTTGTGACCTGCCCATTTTCTAATTGTAATTTTCTGTAGAGCAGTGGTGTTTCAGCAGGAAAAGCAAATGACCTTGATAGGAAAAAGGTATTGCTGCACTACACGCTACTGAAAATAGAGCTGCTGGCATTGACTTGTCCTAGGCAGTCTCAAAGGAAGCCTGAAGTGGAGTGGCCACTGTTAGCTGCTGTTAGCAGCGGCTTCCTCCGGGGCTATTTCCTGATCCAAAATCCCCATCCTAATTCATCTTCCAAGATCAAAAAGCCTTCATGAGTTCGGCAATACTTAGGTGATTTGGGAAAAAAAAAAAACAAACCAAACCCAAACCACCTCCAAATGTATGCCAGTATTGTTTATAGCGGCCCATCTTGTTTCTGTATGAAGATGAGCAGTGGTATTTCTACCATCTGCCTTAGCTAAAAATATGTCCTAGGAAGCAGGAAGAATTTCCATTTTGCTTTGCTGCACTTGGAGCCAGAGGTTCTTGTTGTTTTAAAAATTTTTTTAGGTGCTTACCCTGTTTTTCCTTTGAGCAACCGTTCCCTGGAATATCATCTCATGTAGACAGTAAGACCTTTTAAAACTGTGAATTAACCATGCCTTTTGCTCAGTCAGAGATGACTCAGGGCACATGAGGGTTGCAGAACAGAAACACGTGAAAGTATGTTATGTTCCCTTTAAGTTGTTATGGTCTGCATCCTGCCTGTATACCACAGGGTCTGATGCTGTTCCATGGGATTTGTCATAACCCTGTGCGCTCGGGGATCCTACCACCAGCTTGAAGCCACATAAAACTCTATTCTCTCCCATTTTTGCGAATCCTGCCCACCTGTTTGGCAGCTGCAGAGAGTCGGCATCTCCCACCACAGGGCTCAGCACCATGTTACCACCCAAGTGGCACCAGAGTGACCACGCTGGGACTGCCGGTGCTGCCGGTGCCGCCAGTGGTGCCGCCAGTGGTGCCAGGGTGCATCAGAATGTGTAAGGAGGAACCACACTCCTGCTTACCTCCTGAGGATTTCAAACTGCCTGTGGGGAGCTGCAGCTGTAAGAGTGGCAAAACTGTGTCACAGCACAAGCCTGGTTGTCACAGAATTGTCAGCGTTTTGAGACAAGTTTTAAAATGTGTGAGTGCCTTTGAGGGACTCTTTTAAGATATTTTTTTCTGGCAACTTTTTACTCTTTTTTATGCACTGGGGATCCCCAAAGGAGCATTTCTGTTGTGATTCTTACATCTTCCCACTGATCTGATATGACACTTATGGTTATGCTGAGACTGTGCTTGACACATTGCTGATATTGCTGGGTAGGAGTTGTGCTGCAGATGCCTAGGACTGGGTTTGAACCTGCTCCCTCTGATCAGCACTACATTTCTGCTTCTAGCTGACTGCTATATTCTCTCCTATGATCCTCATAAGCTCTGTGATCTCCTCCTGTTTTGGCTGCTGGCTAATTTAAATGTGACACCTGCCATTTCAACAGAATTTGAAGGCTTTTTCTGCACCTATGTTTCTGCAGCTAGGCAAACAAGATGTCCATCTTTTCACGGCCACAGAACAATTAAAATTAGAAGGCATAATTCCAAAGAAAATATCTATAACTGTCTCTTCTCTTTTTTTTTTTATTATACTACCATAAAATTATTTTTTTTTCTTTTCTGGACTACCAATTCACATGGTTTCTAATGAAGTCCTGTGTTGTTTCTCCCTCACTTCAGTGAAGCTGGTGACTACATACACATTCATGTTTTGTATTCCTTTCAGGAATAAAATATTCATCAGACACTTACAGAAATGCACCTAAACCATCTGCCTAGTCTTTATGGGAGATGTAGAAAGATTTGGAAACATGCTCTGCTTCCCTTCCCATTTGCACAGATGAATGGGTGTACTTGGAAGTCTTTTTTTAAAATCTTTGTTTTACTTTGCCCTTTCTGTAAGTGTTTTAAGCCCGCAAAGTCTTTGTTTCCATTCTTGTCATGGTCCAGTAGTAAAAAATGTAAATGTTTTTACATATCTATTTCTCTCATAAACTAGTTTCTCTTATATACTTTGGGAAAACAACAAGGCAACAGAGCCTGAATTTCCAGAAGCTAATGCTCCTTTTGAGTGTGCATGTTTAGACTTAGCTTTGCAGAAGTAATCAGGATACAGCTGACAGTGATGGCAACTGTGAAATCAATCCTTTTGGAGTTCTGGTGCTGAATGTCAAGGGGAGCTCTTAAAAGTAGTTTCTGCTTTTGAAAACTTTGGACTTGAGCCAGAGCTTTCATCTCCTTATCTGTGAAAATGGAATACGGCTTAAATACCTCTCTAACAGCTCATGAAGGTTCATTAACGTTTATAAAACCCTTGGAATTGAAAAGCACTGATTATTTATTAATTCCTGTTGTCTTGCACCTTCGCATTCCTTTCACATGTCAAATAAGGATGTAGCAGGCAGCAAAACCAGCAAAACCTGTAACAGCCTCCGCTCTCCTCTCTGCATTCCCTTACTATAATAGTCTCCCTGTACCCTCTCTCCATGTCCCCTATTGCCTTTATATCTTCAAACCCTTCTTCCTTCAATGCCTGCTGTCCCCCCTCCTTCCAGTGTAGCTTGGACTCCCTTCCAAGGCCTCCCTGCTGGGGCCTGCTTGTCTGACACAGCTGCAGAGTGGCCAAGAAGTGAGAACATGAAACTTGGTTAGAGTTGAGAGACCCAGGAGTGAAAATGAGGCCAGACTTCACAGCAAAGCCCTTCTGCTCTGCCAGGCCTCCAGCTGATGGAGATTGTACTGCTCCATCTCTACTAGGTCTCTGGATGAAAATAGCCATTGGTTTGAGAATTACTGGGAAAGGGGAGGTTGGTACAAGACCGTGCAAATACAGAGTGGTTTCTTCTTTTGTTGATCAAGTAGACGCTTGTAATGCTCTCAAATGTTCAGATCGTAAATAAACCGCACTGAGCAAACTTACTTTTTCTAGTTGAAACCACTTATCTAAACACACTCTTGACATTTCTCCATGCTCCTTTTTACAAGGTTATACTCACAGTAGTACATGTATAAGAGTTGCTCTGTTCATGGTACAGATTAAGTCTTCTGAGGGACACACTGGCTTGCCTCATAAGTGTCTATGTTGTCCAGCAACAAGACTCAGGACCTTAACAAAATAGCATTTTCAGAAGCATTGCCATGCTTTCAGACTATCCTAGAGTGGCTTTCAGCCCATCTTCCTTATGCCAATGGGACATAAAGTTTACTCTGCCCTGGCATGGCCTGTGGAAGCTGCAGCAACTCCTTCTGGCCAGATGAAGGACATTGTAAACCGAAGACATGCCATCTTGGGCATGCCATCTTTTAAAGAAAAAACCCATACCTACAAAAATACGGGAACGTGTACATCCATACAGGCACTTTGTATACCTACAAGGCAAAAGCAGCGGGCTAATGGGGAAACTGAAATCAAGCTAGTGGTGTTATTACTTTGCCCTTTTCTGACTGCAAAGCAGCTCTGGGACTCGGGAAACCTGCTGCTTTGCTTTCAGTTCTGCCACACATTTGCAGCTCTGCCAAGTTATACTTCTGCCCATTTCTCACTGTAGGATTTACCCTGGCTTACATAATGTGGGTGTGGATACCCAGACAAACCAAACTTGCCCAAAAGCACACATTTGATTCACAGTTCTAGATGCAAGTCCACATGAGGAGTTTTGGGAAAGTGGCTAGGACTTCAAAGCATCATCAGTATGAAGTACCTAAGGAACTGTTTCACTGTGTGCTGTGGAAAGACATGTTTGTCTGTCCTCAACTCTAGCTCACAGACATTCCTAGTCCATTATTAAACTACCAAAAATAAAATGCTTCTGATTCAGCTCTGTCCTCAACTCTAGCTCACAGACATTCCTAGTCCATTATTAAACTACCAAAAATAAAATGCTTCTGATTCAGCTTTTTCTCTCGTGTCCTCTCCAGCTGCTACCCAAGGATCCTGCACCAGTGAATGAGCTGTTCCTGTTTTGGACTGTGATGTTATTTCAGAAGGATGCACGCAGAAGGCTCTGGCCATGAAGGGCATTTCAGTAGAGGTCTTTTTTAACCCTTACTTGACGGTGATAGGTCCTGGGAAAGAAATGTTGCTGCTGACATAGCTGAATGGAGACAGCTGTTGTTTGCCTCAGCCCTTGCCAGTTGAAGTCTCTGGTGCCACAGGGTTGTGAAATTGCATCAAGATCTAGAGTAGAGGTGATGAGCAGCTACAGAGTTATTGCATAGGGAATGAGGCCTGCATGGAGCCCACTGAAGAGCTTGCTCTGACCAATAATGTATAGTAAACCAGAGAGGGGCCCAGTGCATGAACTGGCCCTGTGCCAAGCTTAGGTAACCATTTTCATGTTGATTAGACAACTGCTAATGCTGTGTATAGGAGGAAGTTTGTGCTGTGGCTGCTGATGCCAAACCACAGGCTCCGGTGGCTAATACATGTGAAATAGTAGCTGGCTGAGGGAAAGTGCACTTTTCCAACTACACTTACTGCATGTGCCTGTCCTTGGTGTGATCTCCGCAAGAAATGCAGGAATGACTGGCAGTCAGGGACACAGATCTGCAAATGGTGGCTGATCACAAGGAAACATTTATGGACACAAGTGTGAGATGCAGAGTGCGTGAAACAAGGATCCCGAAGAAAGCTAGGGTTTCCCCTTTGGAGAAGGGACTCAGTTTTTTTTTTACAGTATACTTACAATTAGAATGTTTCTGACCATTATTACATTACTTGACCCACCTCACCATCTTCAGTCCTGGCATGTAAAGTCATATTCTGAGGTCAGATCACCTGATGGGAAAAGAAGGTTTAATTATATATTAAATACTTGCAAAATGGTTTCAGTGTCTGAAGGCAAAGCGGCTCAGCCTCCAGACTTATTTGGATGTTGGTGTGCTCCATGTCATTTCTGTTAACAGCACTCTGCACCTTCACACCTTCTGTGAGGGTGTCAGTTAAGAATGTCAGTCTGATGATAGGCAGGGACAGCAAGAGAAATTAGGGATGCCACAGGGTCTCATATCCCTGCACTGATTGTGTGCATCACACTTTGTGTACGTGAGAGGTTCATGCTGTAGGTATATCTTGGGTCTTCTTTGCCATGCACTCCCAGGCTAACTGCATTTTAAAAAATTTGGACCTGTGTCCAAAATCAGTAAGCACTTGCAGGAGAACCAGAAAGCTTTGTCCCCTCCCTTTCTCCCCCTCTTTCCCACCCTGCTGCAACAGACTCACCTTGTCATCTTACTTAAGAAGACTATAGTATTTTCCTTTTTTTTTTTAGTGAGTGGGGGAGGGGAGAAGAGTATTTTCTTATTTACATTGTTCATCAGAACAGGGACACTGCTTTTTTTATCTCTTTTATCTCATCTTTACCCATTAGCATGTTCTGAATCCCTTGCAAGACAGTAGTTTCCAGACACTCAGACACTTCAGATTTAAGCTTGAAAGAATTTGGGAAACAAGTAGCTTGGGTTTAGTGAGGAACGTTAGGATGCCTGAAGAAAAGGCATGTTACCAACACTGGTTTAAATGCATTTTTAGGGTATTGATTTGTTGGAATTCCCTATCAGAAGAAGCTGCTTCCCAGATCTGTGACAAGAGACCTTATCTCTTTGCTAAAAAGATGTTTAAACCTCATCTGCTGACCAGCATATTAGCAAATAGGGAGGAAGTTAAGGAAGCTTAGTCTCTTAAATGATATTACCAATTTCTCCATTGAAAAAAACTCTCAAACATCACATTCAGGATGTTAGGAAGGCATTAGCAGATGTCAGACTACGTTGGAGAAGTGGTCTGAAAACCAAAAACGCTTTTCCTTTTACCTGTGTCCCCTTCTCCCATAATGTGGCATCATGTTGCATATCTCCAAGGTGTTTACACACTTCCATTCCCACTTAGACTTAAAATATAGGTCACTGGGGACAATGTTGTGATGCTGAAATATAAGAGAATATATGTCAAAATGGAAATATGAACTCACGTTTGCTAGGGTTATAATCTTAGCCTTATCTTGAGACTTCTTGCAGGCATATGGACTATCTTCCAGACATCTCTGGAAACACAGTCGAGTAAATAAATAATTCTGCTACATACTTCCCTCCAACACAGAAACATACATGCACTGCTCAGAACTATATCTTACAGTGGAACAGGCAGCTGGTCAGGCAGCAAGGGGACAGGCTGGCCTTCTGCTTTGGTCTGAATATACTTGGTATGTTTGGTAGGTAAAAGTATCTCAACAGTGACACTGGAAAAAGCCAGAGACTGGCCACAACTTAATCTGCACTCTTTGTTTGAGGCAGCACATGCACTTGCAATAGGGTTATCAACTGACCGATTAGATGTGAACCTTTCCCCATTTCACCAGTGAGTTTGATTTTCCATTATAAGAATTACCTGGGAAATACTTGAACACTTGTCAGGTAATGGCAAAGACAGTGATGACCACTTCTCTAGCACTGGCTTTGCATTTATTTTCTACCATGTTCCTTGAGCCACCACTGAGAAGCTCCCCAGAATGACCTTAACATTCAGCCCCTTTGCGATATAAAGAAAAACCCCAAGAGTGCTCTGACTTCTGCATCCCACATGTCCCACAACGCCACTACTTCCCTTCCCTGTGCCACCACCTCTCTCTCCCCACCCCTGAAATACTGGCAAGTACACAGGAGAGCCTTTCCAGAAGTACCTGTGAACTCCCCCAGTGCCTCTTGTTCTTCCACCTTCAGGAGACCACATGCATCACAGCAGTACTGCAGCTATGCCCAGGGTGACAGGCAAGCCTGTGGCTGCCCACCTGCTGAGTTCAACCAGTACTGACTTACTCCTATGAGGGAACCGATCAGATCTCTCCTCTGGCCCAGACACTGATTTCATAAAACTAATGTGCATTTAACACTTTTGAGAGAATTTTGCCTTTCTTTCAGATCTGGGTGGAAAGGATTAAAGGTTGATGGGGGGAGGGAAGAGGGGAAGGGGGCTGATTTGATAGACAGACAAATAGACAATGTGATTGCATCAGTGTCATTTCCTTAGGAAACTGAGCTAAAAATAAATGGCTTTATTCACCTCTGGGAATAAAGCAGAATGTCTCTCACATCTTTACAAAACATTTGTTTCTATGTATACTTATAAATAGTCATGATGAGAGAGGAAGTTTGCACTGGATTTTGAGCAAAGAATTAAAAGGAAGAGCAGGAGGTGCATGAATTTCCAAATCTGGGATCCTTTTAGGAATATGGAGGAATGAATGCAGGGCCTTGTACACCAATGCCCCATTACCCATGTGTATATGTTGCTGCCCTGCAAACCAGCTGCCCATTGGGCAATTTTTCACACCCTCACAGAATGAATGCCCTTTTACTGCACCGGTGGTGAATGATGTGCTTTAGACCAAAACCTTCCAGCACTTTGAGGTCAGCATGCTCTCTCAGGTGTAAGTGAGCAACATGGAAATTGCTGTATTTGTTCAGGTTTATCATCTAGAAATTCCTGTCCGATGGTGACCAAGACAAGATACGACAGAGGAAATAATCCCCAAAATGGTCTCATCTATCATTAAGAGATTGTATAAGCCTTCTAAATTTTACTTTCCTGCATTTACTTTAGATATTTCGTTATCTTTGGAAATGTCACAGGCCTCCTTACAACCTTGGCCTTGATGACAGCCTGTAGCAGTAAGTTCATTTTATGCACACTGTATATAAAATGCTTTTTGTTTATGATATTTAAATTTACTACCCTTCGTTGAACCAGTAGCACTGGGAATTTGGACTTTTATTGTCATGCTAAACAGATAGGGAACAAACTAGTTCCACATCCTCTAGAAACTTCTGATTATTGTAAGACACAAGTGATGACGTAACATCAAAAGAACAGTTTTTACAGCAGGGAATTCCCTCGTGGCAGATGGGCAGAACAGAAGCAGTTGTATTGTACATCTCCTTTGCTTGTGCACTACCTGTTAGCTTTTGTTTCAATCACCTATGCACAGAAGCCCCTTCTTCTGGAGACATACTAGAATATCCATTACAGGAATATTTCCCAGTCCCAGAAAACGCTGTACTGAGGACTGTCACTAGAGGCAGTCCTTGTCCTGAAGAATTTAAGTTTAAAATATGAAAGACCAGCACAGTATGGGAAAAAGGGTTGCAACACACCACTGGAAGATTAGAAAAAGAACAAATATCTTGCCTGCAGGTATGACTGGGGCTCTTACCAGGAGTTAACCTTAACTCAATGTCAAACTTGATCTTGTTTCCCCAGGGGATGGGATTGATCCATCCTAACTTAAAAGTCAAAAATGAGATGTCTGAGCTCATGATTCTACAATCCCTACACAATCACCAAAAGAATTAGGCACTTCCAGGAGACCATTCATGGGACCTATCTTAAACAAAAAGTAACAGTAATTTCTTCTGTTTTCGACTATATGCATTTGAGATTTCTTCTCAGACTGGTTTAATATCCATGCCCTGCTCTACTGCTTTTATCAGAGTTACTCTTACTATCACCATCTATTCAAGATAGACTAAGACAGTCTTCTTGCTCATCTCTGATAGATGTGTCTCTGGTATGAGCAGAAATAGACCTTTACTTACATTTTAATAACAAAACATATGCCTATGCCTGCCTTAGGTACCTTATTTGATAAACAGTTTTGAACTTCTCAGGTAACCTCTGAAAGTTGTGTGAAAATTTAAGCCTAAATACTGGGAACTAATAATAATTCAAAAAGCATCTCAGACTTCACAATCATTTGCATATTCTCAGAAATTTTGCTCCTGACCTTACTTGTATAATGTTCTTGAAAGAAAACCACAGAGGTTGAAAAAACATCTGAACAAAATGGCAATGAAAGCAGCTGGGTTTTTTTAAGCTCGGTAGCAAACACCCTGTCTAATTATATGCAACTGCAATGAAGTCTGAGTCATGACTTGTCAGATGATCCTCTTGATGTGGCTACAAACTAACAGCTCTACACCGGGAAAGCAAGTGAACTGAAGACCTTACAAAAGCACAAGTCTTCCTTGTTTCCCTGGTCCCTTGCTTTTCTCTCTTTTTCTATGTATTACCTGATGTTCAATCAACCCATAGGGCAGAAAATGTATTTCCTAATATCTCGATAGTGTCACGCACATTTATGTTGCTGTACAGATGATTGATGTGCAAAGAATATGAGTGATGCTGTGAAAAGACAGAAGGGCAAAGTTAATATCCCATGTAAACTTGACTTGTATTCACTTTTTATAAACACTCTCTGAAAAAACATGTTGCAGCACATGTTGAAAAAGCAGGTCTTTGCTCATAACACTAGCAAAATATATGGCTGGTACAGCCTGGCAATTCTGCTGATAGTTTTATGTCCAAGTAGCCACACAGGCAGGCCAGTCAGGGCACTGTATGGCTGCTTCACATCTTGCTCATTGACTTCTCAGAAACCTCCCTTGAAAACAAAATTCTCCATAGGATGCAACTACTGAGTTATTCATCGAAAGGGATGTGTATGTTTGCTGATGTGATTTTATTTTTTGTATTTCTTTGTCCATCCACTTAGCCTGAATAAGGCTGTCCCATAACTCAGGTATCTCCTGTCTAGAGGGCATCCTTGGGCAGTTTACTTCACTTCGGAGCTAACATGTTCTATTCTCTGACAGCACTGACTGCATGGGGATCATTAAAATCTTTACTGGGACCAGAGCAGATAAGCAAAGCTGTATCTGGATACTGTGATTTTGTGTTTTTCCCTTGTATTTCCTTGTACAAAGTATTATGGTATTATGGCTTGCTGTTTTTAAGAGATAGAAAATTATATACTTCCAATGCGGCTGCTTGCAACAAACAGATTGTGGGCCAGGGGGAGAGACATTCAGTAGATAGAGGCTGTGAACTTTTTTTAGTAGAGAGACATTGGGTTGCATTTGCCTTGTCTTTGAGTCACATTAAATATACACACTCTTAAAAGGCTATTGAAATGTTCAAATGTCAGTGTTTCAAATGAAAATCAATAGCGTGCTATTAGGCTAATTATATTGCTGTTATGCATCATTAAAATGTATTTAAAAGCTTTCAGCAGAAATCGAGAGATGGGATGAATAACAAGACAGTTTGAGGACGTGCAGCATACTTAGAAGGCAATAAAGAGTCAGGCACAAAAGAAACTTTGTAGGCAATTGGAAAGAAAGCCCTGCAAAAAGCTCACTGGGTGTTTCAAATGTATGGGAACATGAGAAAACAAATGATACAGAACTCAGCTTACAGAGAAATGAGTGGAGCTGAACCACTGCTAGAGGGAAAAAAAATTGTCAAATATTTTTAAAGATACTTTTATAAATGGGTCCTTGTGGTTTGAGGTTTTCTCTTTGCCTGGTCTATATAGATTGCTGTACCACAATGCTCAGTGATGTCCCTAAAAATACTGCTGACATTTTGCCTTCTTACACAAAAGGATTATATTAGGTCCTAAAAGCACATTTATAAATTTAGCTTTTTCAAGCATCTTTCAGGTCAAATGTCATGTCAAAAAGTGTCACATCATCAGATACTCTAACATACGTCTTTTCTATCTGATATAGATTTCTAATGAGAAAATTTTTATTCACTATTTAAATATGGAGGGGGTGTTTATACATGAGTAACTACTTACATACACATACATACATATATATATATAAGACTAAGAGAGATTTCTTACTAAGTTTATGAAATTTTCTTTCTAAAGGGAAAGAATGGGAAGAAGTGACCCTCCCAGTGGCTGGGAGTTCAAATGGGTAAGAAGGACAACAAATTTCTAGCACTACACAGATGTAGTCCTATCCTTTTATACCTGATTGCCATTGAGCACATGTTTGCATTGTTCCTGGAGCAGAACACAGACCACCCACCACGCTGCATGTCACCAAACACACAATCACTGAAACCATCAGGCCTC